TTGTGTTAGATTTAGCGAAAAAGTTACTAAAAATTAATACTAAACTTTTACATATACAATTATTTAATTTAGCGTAAAAGATCATTTGTTAGTGGAAGACTAGCTGTTGGTTTCTGAGAATAAAATATATGTTTAAAACATATCGTCATCCCTGTCATTATCTTTGACAAAATAGAGATAACAATATGTTTAAAGCGGTGATTTTAGGAACCAACGGTAATGAATCGTACATATATAAATATATCATTTTTTGTATGTAATAAAAAATAGGAGGTCATTGTGTACATATAGTATGTCATGATTAAATTACTTTATTATAACTTAAAATAATAATAATACACAAAATTGACGTACTTATTGTTAATTATTCGCATTTTCATCTTCAAGGTTTTAATAAATAGTGGAATAAAAAAATCAAGGTTTCAAAGCGCAAATTATTATTGAAAAATTAAATGAGCTCAAAATTAATATTATATTCTTAAAATAAAACAAATATACTGCTGAGCTATTTTATAAAACAGTAAAATGATACTATGTCATTTACTAACAGATTATTTCAAAAGTCGTTAATTAACATTTTCCGAATTCCAAACTCATTACCAACCTAATAAAATAAAAGAGAACCCAATACCAACACTTCCAGAAAATACCAACATAACAAAATTTAACAGTGCAAAAGTATGTAACTTGTCTCAGTTCTACCAACATACGAGTGCAATGTCATTTTTGAGTTCCCGGAGCGATTCTTACAGTCCTGTTACGTATTCCCATAAGGGAATACCTAGCTCGGATTCCCACGGCGAACGTCGAGTCCGGCCCATGGCGTCGGTGTAGGAAAATGACAGAGCGGTGTTTCTCACACGACCGACACTAATATCATGTGATGCTTTGAACCAAAGGTTGGCTCAATTGTTTGTTACATGTATACAAATGTTTGTGCAAATATTTCGGCACTAAAAGTAAGCTTTCGCTTTATCTAATCATACCGAAGTTATAAAAACTCAAGAAAGTAATTTCTCATTAAAATTTTAATATGTGTTAGGATGGATGTTAGAAGATATCTCCAGAACGGCAGCATGAATTTCGCTGAAATTTGGCACAGATGTACATCATAGTCTGGAGGAACACGTATGCTACTATTTCTTTTTTAATTCCACGCACACGGAGTCGCAGGCGACAGCTAATATTACAATAAATTAAACCATCGTGTCAATAATGTTACATCTGAATTCGTCTTTAATCGTTTAATATAATTTTAAATTACATCTAAAAGCTTTCGTTTATAAATAAAATGATTTAATTAGTATGCAAATCGTGCGTTCCGATCTCATAAGAGATAAATGATTATCATTCTGGGACAACCCTTTCGGTCCTTAATTTTTCGCAAATCGAATCATGTCGTAAGTTTTCACTTACTTACGCTCGAGTACACAATATAGAGTTTATTAAAATTCAACCTTCCGACTAAGAAGTTTAAGTTGATATTTGAATGGTAGGTTTAATTGTAAAACTTAAAAATATGGGCGCAACTGACAAATTAATTAAGTCGCAAGAAAAGGGAATCGATCTGTTGCCTCGAGTCACATGCTCGAATAGTCAGCAATCGGGATAGGATGCGACAGTGCTGACATCTCTTGTGGATTTTTGCTTTCGGGGTCTTTGACCGACAGTTGTTTTTTTAATTCACGTCCGATATGGTAAGTTCAATGAAAATCGATTTCGAATTGACCCCCTTACGATACGTCGCACACGATTTTTAATAACATTCCAGGATTTTTATTAATTACATATGTACTAATTATCTAGTCAGATCTCTGTATATAAAAAATATATAATTTCCTAATTTTATCTTCTCCATACGATGTTTAGTCTTTCTTATTTTACTTTATCTTAGATGAAATAATTTTTCTACGCATTCAATAAGATGCGCAGGCGCCAATAGCAGTTTTTCAACAGTGACGTATTGGCGGCAAACGCAAAAGAAACAGTAAGCATCTTATAAATTAATATAAACCAAAGACGACAGCCGATGGCTAAGAATTAAAATAAAATGGCAAACCGTCGCCAAAGCGTTGTCTGATATATGTCGTATATCAATAATTTGCTCGATTTAACGATTCCCGCGCTCACATGCAAAAATACGCCGCCATCTTGCCGCACCGATGTCAATTCTTTACCAATGCGTAATGTGACATTTTAAATAATTTTTTTTAAATAAAATTATATTATGACCCATATTAAACAATTTGATATAGACCTCTCCTAACATGGAAAAAAGTTTTTATTTTCGTAAACTTCAGTGAACATACGTTACATAAGTTAGTTTTTTTCAAATATCTTAATAAAAAGGGCCATTCGTAAATGAATAACTATCATTTAATTATCAATTTATTAACGTATTTAGAAAGATAAAATATAATGACATAAACGTAATTTGAAACAACATAAAAAAACTTTTATCTAAAATGATGTTTCTATTCGTAACAGTACATGGGACCGTTAAAAGTAAATCAAACTTGAAGGTAACAAGAAGCGATATCATAAAGTCGACAAATCACCGCGGGGACGACGCGGTCAGTACGCGGGGACAGGGCAGCCTCGCAGGGGATCGTGTTCGATCTAATTTAGAGCGGCGAGCGGCGAGCGGCGTGATGAGCGGAGCGATAAGCGTAGCGGCGGCGCCACGCTGTGTGATTTACTCGCGGCCTGCGCTTTGCGATGCGCTGCCATCTGATTACACTCACTGTCATCGATTGTAACAATTTAAACTTGTGTATTATATATTTTGTCAAATGAATTGCGATATTGGTTCAATAAAATACTAATTAATTTACAAGAAATGTGTATAGGCTTATAGATTTCACAATAGGTCAAACTTTTTTCTATCAGTTTAAGATGCAGTCTCTTTTTTATCCTCACAATTTAACTTTAGTGTCTATGACAATTATCGGTATGATTTTAGATGTAACCAAAACATTTATTTTATATTTTACTTCTGCACTAAAATTCGTAAACAATATCCAACTAACATAACCGTGTGGAATTTGTTTATAAAATCAAGAAATCAGTTAGTACGTATCATAGTATAAAATTAACAGACTGTAAGTAAAATAAACAACACGAAATAAATTAGCATTGTACAAGGTCTGCGGAGGCATAAATCGCGCACAGACCTCCGGAGCCTATCGTATTTTCCTTTATAACATAATCTGTGGCATCTCGACGATTTATCCTGAGTCCCGGTGACTGGGGGGACAGAGGGGGTCGCGGGCAGATGCGGGGTGTCCCTCGGGACCATAAGGATTGAGCAGATAATAAAACAGATTAATTGTTCTTAATTTATATTAATAAAACCAACCAAGGAAGAAATGCATGTGTAATAATTAACAAAATAAACTTATTGAATTCAATATTAAAGTAATTTAAAGGCAAATATCAAGCATTTTAGGCACTTAAACAATTTTTTAAAAAATAAATAAGAAAGCGACCTAAAATCATAATTTTCAGTCATCCAGAACAGTCTAAAGGTAAACAACCTTTTAAGTATTATGCCACAGAGTTATCAATATCAAAAGAATTCATAAAAGTATATTGCAAAATAAAAAATAATTTTAATGTTTCCAACAGAAGTCCCTAGCGTCTCCATAATACTGCTGCGTCTCTGTAATGGCGTCATTTCCACAATTTATTGTTAATTGCTTTTGTAAGTTAACTCGATACCAACATTAAGACATATCGCACGGCTGACAATCTGCGTTAATCCTCACAACACATTCACCGTTCACTATTAACCGTTTATAAGGGAATTTGTTCACTAGTTTTATATTACATTTATTTGTAATTTAAAGACAACTGAATGTTGACACTTAAATATTATTCTTTTGTTATAGCGTTGATGTTCTTAATCCATCTCTGTATGCTTTGTTATCTGTCTTTGTTCCAGTCTATTTTTATCAAGCTCTATAGTACTTTTATTATAATTTTTGTATAAAATACTAGCAACTAAACCCGACGATTGTTCAAAAAATAGTTTTTTTTTATATCATAAGGTGGCAAACGAGCGAGCGGCCACCTGAAATCGCTGAAATAGCGAAGTGACCGTTGCCCATAGATATACGCAATTGCATATGCGTTGCCTACCTTTAATCGTCGGAGGAAAGGATGCACAGAAAGAAAATATTTTCCCTTTCCATGCATCCTCTCATCCGGAAAGTCCACTTCCACTTCGCATCCTTTCCTTATAAGAAAAAGGATGGGAAGGGAAAGAGGACTAAATTAGGCCTCCGGGACGCACACTCATCAGACGAAACGCGGAATTGCTTTCACTTCACGCCTGTCTTCTGTGTGGTTTAGGTTTAGTAGTTTTTAATTTTTCAATAATTTCAATGAGAAAACAAAAATATCTTTACCTTAGTAATTAATAAGTATGAAAAAATGTTTTAATTAACTTAATCTAGTTTTCTTTTTTTTTTTTGTTAAAAAAAAATGGATTAAAAAACAATTTGATCGTATATCAGCTTAGAGTTTATCGCAAACTCTGTAATAACATGCGCCGTGGTCCTCGAAATTAACAACTAAATGACTGATTGGAAAATGGCCGATCTCCGTCACGGCGTATTAACACTGAATTGGGTTTCTGAGGCGGTTTTCATTCGCGCACAACTTTATGTCGACCGATAACAGCTACTATGTTGAGTTGGAACTACGTACCGACGCTTTTTCTTAGGTGATTGCATTTTATCTTTATTTTATTTTTAGAATTTTACTAGAAGACCCATTTACTACAATATTTTTTATCAATATGAAATATATTAATAAATAATACTATCGGGGAAGAGAGAGTTAAAGTTTCTCAGTTGTTTTTCCCGCTTAGTTGAAATTTCTTGTGAGAAACCTTCACTAGAGGTATCCTACAGATCAACTAAGTAACAGCTTATCATCTTTTAAATATTCCTATTTGTCTTATATTTGATATTAACATACTTATATCGTTATTTCAGATGAACCAAAAGTGCAAAGTATGCGGAGAGCCGGCGGCGGGCTTTCACTTCGGCGCATTCACATGTGAAGGATGCAAGGTAAACATTATATTATTATTAATCTAGAAGAGCACTATCTCTCTCTGGTAACAAGTTCGTGCTTAGGACTTCCGGAACATTCCTTGGAGACCCCCGTTCTCTCTGTTACACGTGGCCACCAAAGAGGTTTTAATGTGTCTAGTCTCAATAAACCATAAAAAATTAAAAAAGCATAAGTCTAGAAACATATGTCTGACGTTTCTCCTAACTGTTCCAATTTATTGAATTCGACATAATAACTGTAATTGATGAGTAGGAAACAAATTATAAAGTCAGTTCGCAGCAAATCTACAACTCTCTAACAAACGTATCAAGGACTACGGCTTGTTTAATGACGATTAATTTATATTATAAGCAGTTGTATTAGATATAGTAAGTAATATTTAATTTGTAAGAGGATTACCTAATCCGTAATAGGCTCAGTGGTCAAGCACTCGACTTGCAATCTGCAGGTCCTGGGTTCGAATCCCGCCATGTACCAATGTGTTTTTCGATTTTCGATTTACATATGTACATTTATCCGACGTTCTTACGGTGAAGGAAAACATCGTGATGCAACCTGCACATATATGAGAAGAAACTCAAAGATATGTGTGCAGTCAACCAACCCGCACTTGGCCAGCGTGGTTGACTATGGCCTAATCACCCTTAACTTAGGGTAGGCTCCGAGCCCCTCGGTGGGGACGTATAGTGAGCTGATAATGAATGATAATGAAATAGGATTACCAATTATGTCGTTTTTGTTTGATGTCTTTTCTAACTGGCGAAATATGAAAGACTGTGTCGCGGGCTCACTGACGTGGCGAAAGTTTTAAACCTTTGCAAATTTGATAATAATTTTTAACTAGTTAGATTTTATTGATAGATTTTGCTATAGATAATAAAATTTTTAGTTTTATATAAGTTAACTTTTTTATTACTTAAATTCTTCGAAATGCTAAGAAATTAAAGCGTATAAAACGACTTGACTTACATACATTGAAAAGCAAAGCAATTAACAATTGTTTGTACATTCAGAACTGTAGCCAATCGCTGTAATTGCTTACTAGATCTCGTCAAATACGTTTAACTAACATTTCCACTGATAACAACGTCTAGTTAGTTATTAATTCCAAAACATAAAAAATAGAAAAAATCATACTAATATAAATGCAAATGGATGGATGAAAGTTTGTTGGAAGGTATCTCCGAAATGGCTTAAGGGATTTTGATGAAATTTGGCGTAGATGTAGAACATAGTCTGGAAGAACACATAGGCTACTTATTATGTATTTTTAATTCCGTGCGGACAGAGTCGCGGGCGACAGTTAGTATTAAAAAAACTATTAACTACTATGTTATTTGACTTTTTTCGTATAACAAAAAGTAGACACAATTAATATAAGTATTAAAATAAATTAATAATTAAAAATTATTATTATTATTTAATTAATAATTAAATTAATAAATTAATTCACTTTTCTAAATTAATTATCTCGCGTGCAAATGAAATTCTAACCCAATGCACAGGCAGCTTCGACGTCTTAAACGATATTCATTTAAAATTCAAATTAACTTAACACTTGTCACGAAAACTTTAATTTAAAAGAGGTTAAGCGATTACCTTAAAACTGCTATATTATGCCTTTTTCCCGTGACTCCGTCCGCGAGGGCTTTAGAAAAAGCTTAGTAAGTAGCCAATATGTTCTTCCATACTATATTTTACATTTAAACGAAGTTTCATCAAAATTATTGCAGGCCTCCTGGAAACACCTTCTGCACTTTGCAACGAAAGCACGTCATTCTCACCAATGGATTCTAATAATATCTAAAAGTATGGATTGTGTGAAAGAGAAAGAATACTGTCTTGACCTTCCGTAGAGAAAGGGACAGGAATATGATAAATATTTTAATAAATACATGTATTTATATATAACATTGTAAACAAATAGCTAATGTGAAACTAGGGCTGCCAAATATCCTTTTAATCAGATCGACAATTTTCAACGTTAATTGCGTTTAATTCCGACTTAGAATTGATTCATCCTCAGTAACATTAATAAAAACAAACACACGAATAATACAATATCGACCTTATCTTTAATAAAATAAGGATAAGTTTGGTGATTGTCTGATGTATTATATGTCCGGGAGATACACGTCAATAATTCGATCGGCACGCAACATGTTCCGGTACACATTTTTTTCTTGAACCATATCGATAATTTATTGATACGATTTCTCGGTTAATTATATCTGTATTTATTTACTCTATAATTACTCGGTTTAACTCGGAACGGAAAAAAACGATGAGGGAACTAGAATTTAAGTTTTTTATCTTTTAATGAATCCGTACAGACATTACTTGATGAAATAGTCAAAATATAGTAATATTATTGACAAAATTAATTTAAACAAGTAAACTTTTCAATCAGATGGAATAACTAAAAAATCGATTAATTTCCTTAATCGATTATCTCGATTACCATGTAGATACCGAATAAGGTCGACTCGAAATGAATTGTATTGTTTTAAATTTGCTTTGGATTGCGCTAAAGCAATTTGCATCAATTGGAACAGAACTGCTGGCACAATGGATTGCGCAAGAGGGAGGGAAATGTCGCAGGATACGGCCCTGCTCTGTTACGATACAACGTAACATCCGATATCGATTGCCATTAATTACGCATACTAATTATATGATAACACTTTTGCTAGTGACAGTACCTAACCATGCAGCTCTATAATATTTAAAAGCGGTACAGTCAAAAACATTCTAACGAATTTTCATAAACTTTCCGCCCAAATAGGAGTATTAAATATGGAATGTTATGTATAATTCATAAAAAAATGTTGTATTTCTAAGTTAAAACATTTAGTAGAGTGGACATAGTAAGTTACTTTATAACGGCAGTATATTCAGGAGGCGTCCGCTCGCGCGTATCCTTGACTTTGTGCCAATTGCGATCTCATCAGTCTGTCGTGGCCCTTTTAAATGGTGTCATTACTCACGGCTTGGCACGCTTCGGTCTATTCGTGGTGCACTAACGACTAACCGCGTAAACAATACTCGACTCTAGATTGTTTACCGTTCCTAAATAGGTTATGAGTCAACGGTTAACGTTACCTTCAAGTAAGATCTTCATTTGTTCAAACACGTGACATTCGATAAAACAATTGCCTAAAAATAACATAAAATAATGGCGTGGGGGCACTTCAATCGCGTTTTTACAACATCAATATGTTAAGCATGAAAAGTTTAATATTTATCCGGCAATATGACGAAAGATTTTATATTTCTAGACAAACTATTTATTTAGATTGTAAAATCTTTTCTTCCCGTTACCTGCTTTGTTAGAAGGTCTGAAATATTATGGTGAACCGTTTAATTCCTAACCGTAACTTCAGTCAGAAACCATAAACGCTAGCAACCTTGCTAGGATTCGAAGTAACAATTATTATACAACATTCATACATCCAGACACAAGGCTATGAACGTCTAATCATAACAATACTATGTGATACGATCATAGCAAAGTTACACGAAAGTTTGGTCATGGTGTTTGAGTCGGAAACGAGTCATTGAGAAACGGATGCGCGCAGGCTCCGGAAAATGACCGCCGACGAAACATTGAAAGGTAATTTAAAAAAACAAAACGCGATTTAACCGAAATGCCTCAAATTGGCCAACTACTGACTGATGACCTAACCTTGTTTAGTACCACTTAGAAGCTCTGATTACAATTCAAATAGGTAGAAATATAAATGACGTTTTGTCAAAAAATGCGTGTTTTTTGTACTAATTACGACATATATTAGCTGCATTAAATTAGTTATCCCTTGTGATCGTATAAAAGTTGTGTTGTGGCTGATTGTCCTTGTACTCTGAAAGAGAAATTTATTCAATAATAATTTTTTAACTTCCTTAATCCTAAATACCCAGTATTTTAACTATATTATGACTCGGTGAAGTGCTTTTTCCATTCATCTAATAACTTTAAATACGATAAGATATAAGTAAGATTACATAATATTAAACTGGTAGTCTTCGACGGCAAGTCAGAGATCAGTAGCTAGCGGCTAATGGTGGGCAGTGATTGATGGGTCGGCAAAAACGTGTGAACTTGTCTCTGCTCCAATAACGCCCTAACGCAATCATTATCTCGCACTGTACCGCACTGTACCATACTTAATAGTGCCTGGTACAGTACCGCACTGTGCCGCATTGTACCGGGTTTGATGTGTGTTCACATCGTCATTAGATGGACGCCGAAGTGACATGCAGTGATATCATTTGTTTCTTTGAAAAAAGTTATGTTAGAAAGCAATAACAACTAACCGTATGTTAATAGATATAGCTTGATAGTTTCTCTTCTCAACATACACAGATCTTTAACAATTAAGAAAAAATATTACATGGGATTCATCAATAGTTAATATACACTAGCTGTCGGCCGCGACACCTAATGTAAATAGTAGCCTATTTATGCCAAGCCAAAGTATGTTTTACATCATACCACATTTCAGCGAGATCCATACGGCCGTTTTGGAGATGCCATCTAACAAACATCCATCCATTCACATTTATATTATTAGTAAGATGCATTCATTTTATAATCTACTAGTAAATCGGCTTCACATTGCAAACAGAAATTAAATGTATATAAAAATTATTTAATATTAGGAAATAAGTTGATGTCCCAGCATCATGTCACCAGCTCACCATCAGCGGTGACTGTCGGGCTGCAGGTTGCACGCCCGCCACAGATTATATTGCTATTGAGAGCACATTCAAATTGCGATACAGCACGCGAACGGAAAACTATCTATGGAAACGTTTTGGACTCGAAGTAGAGATGCGCGGTGCCATATTCTAGATATCGATTTTTGAGCGAGCAGCAGTTTATTTTGTACTAAAATAAATAAAACTTTTAATCCTTTTATTGTGCTCATTTTTCTACGTAAGTAGAAAAGATGTCCCGATAAGAAATAACAAAAATAATCTTAACGGTTTGATAAAA